AACCATTCTACAGATTGAAAAGCTTTGCTTACTGTAATCTTAAAAACCTACATTAGTGAATTAAAGGAGTCATTAAACTTGTAGGTTTTGTCTAAACTAGTGTAAGACTGGACTACCACTGCAGAGAGCTGTTTCCATTGCTATAGTTGAATGTTTCTGTTATGTCCGTTGTTTCTCAACATCAGCAATCGGGCAGAAACCATTGCAGGGACTGAGAGTGCAAAAATGTCCATTTCAGCCACAGCACTATCATAAACTGATTGAATCAATCAAAATGTGAAGCTACTGCCTATTTTTTTTGTCCTCGATATACATATACATACAGAACTGGTGTATGTAGCCAAGTCATGTTTGGCATAGATATGGTTAAACATTTTATGCATACTCTTACAAGAATAAACAGATGCTTCCTTCCACTTTCTTAGTCCATTGGGAAGCTGAACTGTGATCTGGTTCTGGTAGCAATAATTACTTGATCTGCCTTTAAATTTAAAATTTAATCTGTGATCTAACTTGTTTCTGCTGATAGCTGATTTATATTAGCTAGATGCCTGAATGATAACTTGAGTAACGTGTCTCTGGCTTGTGGCAGGATGAAAACAAAACTGTTTCTACACCTCACTTGAAAAATAGGTCTGACAGGATATCTAACAACAAAAAATAGTTATTTGCAGAGACTGAAGAGATCTCCTTTTTATCTTTGCAGAATGTTTTTTTTCAGCTTTTCATTTCAGATGCTATGTGAGGTGTACTGCGATTGTTTATAGGGCAATTTAAGCTTTCTCATAAAGCATACTCTGTTTTGACAGATTTTTCAGCATAGTCTAGGACTGAACTCCTTAATTTGTACTGACTTGCTGAGAACAGGATAAATCAATAGCATGTAGTTTGGTGCTTGAACCAGACAATGCAACCTTTATCATGTTTTTCTTGGATAGGAAATCAAAGGCACATACAGGAGTTACAGAACAGATGCTCTTAAATGAATGTTCTACAATGTCAACTAAATGACAATGAAAGAGGATGATTATCTGTAAATCTTTCAGACCATTGAATAAATTTGCCATTTTCTCTTAAAAATCTAAAATTATGTTAATAATACAAATGGTAGGTCTCCTGGGGGTGGAGGGGGAAATCCCTTAAATCACTGTGTGGAAATGCCTTGAAATACGACTGGATTGTACAAAGTAAATTGCTAAGCTCAAGTTCCTTAGTTGTCGGCCTTTTTTGCAGAGGTCGTCATAGCAAACAGACTGAAAGAATTAGAGCTTAATAAAGGGACTTCTGCCATAATTGTTTTACAGAATAACGCTGTATAGAGAGGCACGTGAAGTTACATAAGCTTATTTGACTATGTCTGAATGAACAAAGATCATGATGACCTTTAAGACTCTGATAATAGGATGGCTGGGATGGGTAGCTCGCTCTTGCATTATGAGAAGCATGCTGGTCTTAAGTAAAAACTTTAATTTATTGTAAGGAAATAAGTGTGCTCAGAATTGAATTTGTGTTAAAATTGTGTTCTCTTTGCAGTCTACAGCTTGCAGTAGCTGATCACAGGCTAGTACTGTTGTCTTTAGCCAGTCCATTTCTGTTGATAGTCTCGAGTCTGTGTTGGATTTTTTTTTTTTTTTTTTTTTTTTTTTTTTTTTTTGAAAGTTCTAATTCCCCCTGCCCCCCCTTGGGAAAGTCTTCAGAATGCTGTCATAAACCTCTTCTTTTGTGTCTTTAATCAAATGTGGAAATGGCTTCAGAACTGTACTGTTTGTGAATTAGCGAACCCAGAGCAGGATTGGTGGCAGTCCATCAAATCAGTAGCTTGTAATATAAAAGCCTTTTTTATGTTTTCATTACAGTTATGAAATTTAAATATAATACCCTTAGACTTATATAAACTTGTGCCAGGGGAAGGGTAGGCAAAAATAATGTGCATATTATTGATTGTTGATCACAGGAAACAGACATGATAATGTCAGTCTGAATTTACAAAAATGGAAAGGCTTTGAGGAAGAACTAGTTAGCATCAGAAGGGAATCCCTACCACTCTTTACCTCCAGTGTTTGAAAAGGATTTTCAGTATTTCTTGGCTTATGGTTATAACATTGTATTCAAATGAGTCTTATGTTGACTTGGTAAATCTGCCTGGTCTGTAACATTTTTTCTTTCTTGTTTTTTCTACCCAGCGTCTGCAGCCTGACTGTCTTAATAGTTGAAAATATTACATATAAAGACTGATTTGATGTTCCATTCGGCATTTCCCATATTATAATCTTAACTTTTCTTTAATGTTACCTAAATTTCCATCCTATCTTTAAAATCTGGATGACAGGAGCCTCCTATTTAAAATACTATGTTTTGAAATGAAATATTTTGTTAATGTTCAAGTTCTTTCTTTTTTGTCACATCAAAATACTTGAAGTACAGAACAATGATGATACAATGTGTGAATGCGAAGAATTGTTAATGAAAATGGTGTGGTTTCCAGTTTGATGCAGTTTATTTTTGTGTTATGCTGTAGGTCTGTCAAACGGTTTTGGAGATGGAAGCAAAGAGAGAGCATTAGATGATACTCCAGGAAGAAAAGTTGAACCTCGTCGCCGCTGTGCATCAGAATCTAGTATTTCATCTAGTAACAGTCTTTTGTGTAACTCAAGGTAAAACTGTAAATCTGAAATATAAATTTGAGACTGAATATATAATTTTTCTATGTTGCTTGTGGCCCACATCGGATAAATTTTAGAAAAAAGTATATTTCAGTTTTCTCAGTTGTGTGTCAAATCTGAGACTCTCTTCAGGATTGTTAGTCTTCTTTTGTTGAGTTCAGGTTATTCCAGATCAAGTAGTTATGCTTTATACTTGACTATGCTTCTTTTGCTCTCTATAGATACATATACATGTTTGCGTGTATAGTATCTTGTTTTAATTACCTTCCTAATCCTGAACACTAAAAATGAATGTGTTTGTTTTGGTGAGGGGAGGAGAAAGGTAATTTCCAAAGCAAAGTCTTCTACACAGGGAAGGCAAATTCAGTAGCTGTGGAACTGTAGATTATCAGCCTGTGATTTGGATTACTATCTAGTTACTGTGGTGATGATAGTATCTGTAAACCAAGTATTGACCTTCTCTTTGTGAGGTCTGTCGTTATAGATAGGACTGTCAGAGCAGTCACCTCTGCCACCGTTGATAAGTACCATCACCAGTGGTGCACGTCTTCCAAAAGCACACTAATCTCTGAGTAAAAGGTAGCTGTCTCCAGTCCTGGCCTATGAGGATGGGGCATACAGGAGTATAGGGTAAATATTTTAGAGAAAAAAAGAAGGCTTTATTCATGTGTTTAAGATCAGTATTAAACTGTTTAAGGGAATGGTGTTAATGCACTCATGTCAAAGAGGCTTTCAGAAACAAAGAGAATTTAATATTGCATCTCTTGTAAATGATATATATTGAAGATTTGATCTAGAATAATTGCTGTTCAGAGTCTATGATCTCTTAAAGAAAACTCAAGTATGCAGAAAACAAATCTCCCATTTTGTGTATAGACATTCCACAACTGAAAGACTTGAATTTGTAGTGAAAACATGAAAGAGAAAATAATTGTATTTACTATGTGGTGGAACTGTTGGAGCAGAGGGAACATGTTTTCATTTGGCGAGTATGCACTGTAACACTGGAAACAAAGCAACTTCTGTCATTTGTTCATGTATAACCTGTACAGCAGTTGAGGTGCAGTTGTTTGTCTTTTACTGATAACCAGGCAATTCTGTGCATGCAAATAATCTGCTTTTACGTTGATGTTTGTGTTTGTTACATAAAATTTGTTAGAGCTTGCTGCTCTGATTTTACTGTGTACTGATGACTTTTCAAAGTCTTGATTTATAGTGAACAATGTTAATTATCAAGTAATGGCTTTAATATTAATACTTTTCATAGTTTCAGCCTACCGAAGTGTGGTAAAGGTAAACCTGCCCTTATACGAAGACACACACTGGAAGACCGAAGTGAATTGATATCGTGCATTGAAAATGGAAACTATGCCAAAGCAGCAAGAATTGCAGCTGGTAACTATAAATAATTGTGTTCTTAATAATATTGTATAACTATAATTTATCCATTTGTTTGACAGATTCTAGCGTTCTTATTTTCACTGCTGAAATACATTAAACCTTCTGACAGTGGTGTTAATAGCATTGCAGAAACTACTGGTTTCCGCTTTTGACTCTTTAAAGACTTTGAAGAGAAAAGAATAGTACCTGAGTTTGGTTTCTGATTAGTAAGTGGTATTTAAAGTGATCAAGCAACTCTAGTAGTACAAGCAAAACTTGGCCTGAAGTACTACTTACAGTTCCATCAATATTTTTCTTTGTTGGGTATTTTGGTTTAGAGTTTACTAATCTCATATTGTTCTGCGTAAACGTGTTGACAGACAGGTAAGACTTTGTCTGCTTTGATTCAGAAAAAAATTGAAATTACGAAGTGGAAATTCCTAGGAATGTAGAGGATAGTTATTTCCCTAAAATTTGTTAACTTACTATGTTCTGCCGATACGTTTTCCACGTATTTCAGTATTTTATTTGCATTACAAGATTTAAGTAGGTCATCTCTTCCGTAAGAACAACTGTGTTTGTGTGATGGAGTGCTCCCACACTGAAGTTAGGCATCAGCCTTGCAGTGTCTAGCAGGCCTGTCTTTGGTTTCTGACCGTACAACTCTTCTTCCCTTCATCCTGGGTGTCCGGGACTTGTCCAGGACTCTTTCATGTCTTTCTAGTGCTTTCATCTGAGTCTTTGTTTGCCTTAGTCTGTTCTTTCCTCCCCATATTACCAGTTTTGTTTTTCTTTCTTGCAGCTAATCTGTTTTCAGCTACTGCTTCATTACTCTCAGGTTTAGTATCTTTTCTGTATGCTAATCTCTTATATAGGACTTAACCTTTTCCATTTGCTTTTCTTACTCTGTCCTGGATAGTCTTACATTTAACACTTTCCACTTGGAATTCCTGTACCTGTGTTTTCATAGCTCTGCTTGATCTGTCTTGATTCTGTCTCTGTTCTCAAGACACATTCGACAGCTGCTTACAAGGAGGATCAAATGGCATTTGATAGCATTATTTTATATATTGCTGTGTATTCTGTCTAATTTAAGCTTTTTTGGCTGCCTTCTGCACTTTGTTACCTCAATAGATCAAGAAGAGGAAATAAGTAGGAGTGAAGTGAAAACTCCTGCTCACATTCTGTGCATAACTGGATTTTTACCGTGATTTATTAGTAAAATCCCAGATTTTACAAAGAAACTTAGAGTTGTTCATTCTTGGCAAAATGTTTCAAACAGCTGCTCTGTTTGACAGAGCATATATGCTTTAGAAATAAACACAGCGCGTACAGTTATGCTGTCTTTAGGCCCAAGGAATATCTTGTTTCTAATTACAAGATGCTATCTCACAACCTATGGCATGGTATGTTGTAATACTGCAATTATGATGAGATGCAGTTTGGCACTGATTAATGGATGTAATCGCTGTAATGCACGCACACTGAAATATGTTAGTTCAAATGCAAACAATATTACAAGAGTGCTATTGAAATCACAAAGCCAAATGTGCAAGTTAGGGCATGCTGGTTTTTGTAATACTGCTGCCACATTCAGCATTTTTGACTTGTGAGACTGAGGTATGCTATGTCCACTCAGTGTAGTGGACAAGTTAAGACTGTTATGGAAAAATATGTTCTACATTGAAATATAAAGATTATATTGAGATATAAATGCAGAGCATGAATTAAAGTTTCAAAAGTGACTCAGAATTCTGTCTAACTTTTGGGGCTTGGACTTGTAGGCTTGATAGGGTTTTCTTGGTTTTCAGGTGGAATTATCTGTATGTAATAGCTTGTTGTCCTTGGTGTGCAAGAGCACTGGAAGATGAATAGACACATGGTTTTCATTAATAGCTGCTCTATACAGATATGTGCTTGGGATTGTAGGTCTTTGATTCCTTTATAAGGCCAGGAACTTGCTGTGCTGAAGTGGTTATGTATTATTCTGCTTGTCCCTCCTGAACCTTGCGCAAGCCTTTTGCCTGGCTATTCCTTGTTCCCTGATCCAAGATTTTTATCTAGCTCTCCTGTTCCCAGGCGCTCTCATGCTTTTTGTCCCAGTTTTCAATTCTTTGTCCCTATCTTTGTCCAGTCAGTTGATCCACCTTCTGGACAGATATCTTTATTTTCCCCCTCAGTAAATCTTAGTGACGGTATTTTTTCCAGCAGTGTCTAGATGCTGTATGCTGTCTTTCCCTTCAGTCACATCAGACTGGTGAGCAACAGTGGGCAGGGGACAGGTTGTAGGGGAGTGTTTTGCTGCATTTGACTCAAATAGCTTTTCCCTCTTTATGGTCTTAATTTCAACAGGTAACATTGACAGCAGAGAGGACACTTTGTCCAGCCATGAGTTACACAGTGAAAGGAAAGAAGGAAAGTCTTGATTTGTCATTTGTGCTAAAGAATGATCCATCTATGATGCAGATATCACAGTTACCTCTTAGGTGGCACTAGTTTTGGAGCTTAAGTATGCTCAGTGACAGTGGATTTGTGTACAGACTTAGGTGTTAAAATCAATTTCCTTTATGTAATTAAAACACAAAACAGAAGAAAACACCACTGTGCACTATTAACTGGGTCGTCTTTCAGTAAAGTAGACTTTCCTGTTTGTGGCTAAAGTTTCTGGTTTAAAATAAAATTGGGTATGAAGAGCTCGCATTCCTTGCTGAAAGCTATGCAGATACTGGGTTTTGAAGTTCTTAACTGTCTTTGAAGACAGAAGTGCCTTAAAGTTTTGAGGCTTGTGACTCTGGCACCTAATGGATGTTTTGCTCAACTTCCCACAAAAAATTAAATGCATTGACTTTATTATGAGAATGATACTGAAAAAACCAGTACTTCTTAAAAAAACTATTATAATAAGTAAAAAGTCTGTAAGAGGAGGAAAAATGTAACAAGATATCCTTATCTTTATCCTGAACTGTGCAGGATCTTAAGTCTGGTTTGTGGTATTTCAGTGCTGTTGGTTTTCAGCTAGTGGATGTACTGTTACTTAAAATCTTTAGCAGTACATTGTCCTGACTGCTAACTTAAATTTGTTGTCTCTCATAGCTTGAGGAAATAAAAGAGTTTATGTTGTAAAAGAAAACTGGTAACTGTATGTGCTAGTGTAGTAACCCCCTATCACCACATGGAATAAATTCTGACCAGGAAGAATTCTGAGACTCTTCCCTACTGTGTATACATACATCTGAGAACTCTCTGAGGGAATCTGTCTGTGTGTGTCCTGTCAGATTATGTAGGACCTTCTACTCAACATTAAAATACCATTTTCTGTTCCATATCAACTCTGCAGCTAAGAATAACGTAGGTTTCTTTTCTTTCTTGTTAGCTTCCCTGAAGAAGAGGACTTACACTGTTTTTATGTATCTTCATGACTCTAACTGGTGTGTTAATATTTAACATACTGATATCAATAGAACAAAGAAATAAAGAAGTTTGTCTAAATTGTTTTTTCTGTTGTGTTAGCATTTGCTATGATTGTTTTATTCTGAGATACTACCAAAATGGTTCATCTGGATTTAACATGTCTTTCCATAATACCCAGTATTTTCTGTATTCAGCTATACTCTTAGAAGTATAAGAATGCCTGTATGTACTATATTTGTTTATAAATCTGAAGAATATTATTATGGCTTTTAATGAGAAAGTGAAGAATGTACTAGAATGACCTCTCTAAAAATATACAGAAAGGAACAAACAAACTAGTAAATAGATTTAGTAACTGCTTTCCCAAGGTTATGTAGTTCAGTAAGAAATAGTGTAAATAAGACAAATTGTTTTCATGGTTTTGTATAATGGAATCCACTAATTAAAGATCTCTTCTGTAAAGCCCGCTGGGATTGATAGGAAAGATCCCTATCTTTCATTTTCTTTAGGAGACGTGTTCAAGGTCTTAAAGACACTGGAAAAACTGCATTTATTTCTCTTTCTCCTATGATACTCACACATATAATGGAACATATAACAACTTTTAGTTTCGAAACCATCTAATTTCTTTGTTATGCTGTGGTAGCAAGTTTTTATGAACTTTTTCATTTTGATAACTGATGTTACCTAGTTGTGAATCTCTAAAGTTAGACTTCCCAATGAAGTATTTTCTTGAAATGTTGATACCATTATAGATTAAAAATAAATTATAATTGAATGAATTAGCCTATGGCTGAAAATTGACCTAGAATATATTGTGGAGAATGATTGGGTTTGGGTTAGTTTTTTTGTGTGCGTGTGTGATCACCTTAAACACTTTTCCCTTGCTATTTCTACTCTTACAAGGTTAGAAACCACTTTTTTCCCAGTATGTTTTTGTGATGTTGAGATAGAATTTATATCTGCATGCCACATTTCATTTTAAATAAGCATTGCCCATTGTAAATGGGAGCAGATTGGGAATAATTGAGGAATAAATTGTATTTTGGCAAGTAGAGAGCTATTCCTATTAAGTATCGCCTTATGGTTGAAAAAAAGCGCAACTGCAACCTCTGAACCATATTTTGGTAGCACGTTCCCCCATACAAGTGCCTCCTCAGCTTGTGAACTTCCATTACCTTCTTCCTACTTTTTCTACCCCCAGTTCCATCTTGAGGGGATAACTCACTGGTTTTTGCCCAGTCTCTTGACTGTATCCCTGCATGTGTAGGGGCCAGTTGTGGTTCTGGTTGACTGAAAGGCTTAAACCTATGCCATGCTTCAATCTAGTGGTGAGCAACAGAGAAGAAAACAGAGGATTCTGGTAGAAGCGATCAGTGTCATAAACTCAGTTTTCTGTTATGCTTTCTCCTGAGAAGGAAAAAAACACCATTGCAGCTGCTTCCTTCAGCCCTGTTGGTCTTTTTGAATTTTGCTGCTGGAAAAGGGCTGGGCAGAGAGACCAAGAAGGCTGATTAAAAATAAATAAGTAAATAGAAATTACAATGCAGATTAGAATTTATGCATAAGAATAGAAAGGTACACCAGACAAGCATCGTAAGTTATCAGGTGCTAATACTACTATGGATATCCAGCATTTTGGAAACATACTGTGCAAATTGGATCTTCAGTACCATCACTTCTTTGACAGGATTGTTGTAGTCTCGAAAGAAACTGGTTATTTGGAGTACCATAATTTTATGTTTTCTTTTGAGCTTTTTCAAAGGGAAAGGATTATTAGAATTTGGCAAACGCTCTCTGAGAATTAACGTGTTTTAAGATATGCTGTTTCTGGAAGTGTCTAAAACCTTCTTTTTTATCTGTAGGCTTGGATTAAAGTACTAGTGTAATTTAAAGAGCTGTTATGAATATTACCTGCTTTTTATTAGTATGTGCATGAAAGGTGGTATTGGTATTTGGAGTCTAATGATCGTGAGATATTGATGAGGGAACATAGAACTGCAGATTTCGCTGAGGTTTCATTCTTTAACATTATAATTATTATTTGTTCGTAGAAGTTGGGCATAGCAGTATGTGGATTTCAACTGATGCTGCAACATCTGTTCTTGAGCCTCTAAAAGTAGTATGGGCCAAATGCAGTGGATATCCCTCTTATCCAGCTCTGGTAAGTACACAGCTTTCTGTCAGTACGCTACTGATGATGTTTCTGGTCTGAAAATATTGGTGCATGAACTTAAGGTAATTGACAAATTCCCTTTCACGTTGAATAAAGGTGGATTATTCTGCCCTCTTTACCATGCATCCAGTTTGCAAAACTATTGCAATATCAGATGTTGAGTCAATAATCCGTACTACCCTACCCATCTTTTGAGATGTGCAATACCTGTTGTTGTGGTTTAACCCCAGCTGGCAACTAAGAACTATGCAGCTGCTCACTCGCTCCCCCCAGTGGGAGGGGGGAGACAATCAAAAGAGTGAAAATGAGAAAACTTGTGGGTTGAGATAGAGAGTTTAACAGGTAAAGCAAAAGCCACACACACAAGCAAAGCAAAACAAGGAATTCATTCACCACTTCCCATCAGCAGGCAGGTGTTCAGCCATCTCCAGGGCTCCATGACACATAATGGCTACCTGGGGAGACGAACACCATCACTCTGAACGCTCCCCTCTTCCTTCTTCCCCCAGCTTTATATGCTAAGCATGACATCATATGGTATGGAATATCCCTTTAGTCAGTTGGGGTCAGCTCTCCCGGCTGTGTCCCCTCCGAACTCCTTGTGCACCCTCAGCCTACTTGCTGGTGGGGTGGTGTGAGAGGTAGAAAAGGCCTTGATTTTGCAGGGAGAACATTGTTGATAAAGTGTTTGCCTTCAGGCATTTGGGGTTATAGAAATAGTTCATACACTGTGTCTTGATTTATACAATAGGCTGGACAGTCATGTCTGGTTTAATGTGTGTGTGCTCAGCACATCAGGAAATGTAATCATACAGAGTCAGGTGAAAACAGGTGCCCTCAGTGGGCGACTCGAACACTCTTGGGTCAGATGCTGAAAATTTGATGATTTGATTGTCTCTTGAATGGTGTTAGCACTTTAGTGTTAGATTTAAGCTGATCATGACCAAAGGGCTCCTTTTCTCCCTGCTCCTTTGTGTCTGCACTGGTGTTTCTCTGAGTGTGTGATGAGTTGATTGAGGAATTAAACCTCAGTCAAGAGAAGAAAGTTGTTCTCCTGATTTCTACAAACTCTGCACAGTGTTAACTTTCTGTTGATTTACTTCCCGTAACCGGTTTACTGTGGATTAAGATTGGTTCCAGTGTGGATGCTAGAAAAACAACAGGAGTTTGTAGGATAGGAGATGGGTGGAACAGGCATGGAGTAACATAACCCTTCTTTGGTGGAAGATGAGCACGTGATAATGCTGTGATCTGCCTACAAAGGAGCTTTCCTATTAGTTTAATGTTAGTAGCATCTTTCCCCCTTCCCCAACCTTTGTTTAGGAAGAATTTCTGACTGTAACTGCATGTTTTGCTGAAAAATGAGTCATTAAATCGGATATGCAAGATACTTGAAAGTGATTCCTGGTTTCTTTTTTTCTGTTCGGGTTTTTTGCTTGTTGAGAGGGTTATTTGCTCCAGATTTTGAATGTGGAGCTTGTATATTGCAGAAACAAATATTTATACTTTAACATAGGTTGTTTCTCTAAAGTATCTGAAAATCAAACCCACGAATTTGAGGTCAGTTAGGGCTTTTAGAAAACTTTCTCCTTTTGAAACCTGCTTGTCAGTCTGCAAAATTGTACTAAGTGAAATCCAGATGTGACTTCAAGAAGAACTGATATGGGTAAAAAATGCTGTAGAGATCGTTTTTTCAGTTAAATCTACTGGTGTGCCTCCACTATGCCTATTCAGCTTATGTCAAGAAGTTATGTAAGTGTGTAACACAAAGCCAATTTATATGCAGTGGCTGTTTAGTTTATGATTCTTTTCCCATTAACTTTATTTGTAATACCTCCTTAAAATAAATGATGTAATTGAAAAAATAAGAACTATCCTTTCTTCTCTTTTTGTAGATCATTGACCCCAAGATGCCTCGTGTTGCTGGCCATCACAACGGTGTTACTATACCAGTGCCACCTCTGGATGTACTGAAAATTGGAGAACAAATGCAGACCAAATCAGATGAGAAGCTATTCTTAGTACTATTTTTTGACAATAAAAGAAGTTGGTACGTTACTGAAATGTGTTGTTTGATGCAGTGACTTAAAATCTTAGAAACCTGTACCTTTATTCTAAAAGAAAATGGAAGCATTATCTTTCCATGGATATCATTCCTATGGAAATATCAACTGTAATGTTAAAATTTCGTATTTGAGTCTATTCTTGGACCAAAGTATATCATCCCTGAAAGATACTTTTTTATGGTCAGTTTGGAAGAAAATAACCTAGGTTGTTAAATAGTCTTTTAGTGTGATTTACAAGCTGGTTTCATTTATTGACCTGATAAAATTGTTTCTTTGGCTAAACAGATTTTTTTAAAGGGTAATAATCTTCAGTATTTATCTGTATCAGTCTTCATCTCATTGCTTTCTGAATGACACCACTTCCCCTGCCCCGCACCCCCCTCCCCACCACCCCCCGCTCAAGTGCATTTTCTTGAAATCTTTAACCTCTCTAGTTAAATGCTTTATTAACACTCTCATTTGAAGTTCTAGGCCCTTTCTAAATGTTTTTTATGAAACTTTCCCTTTTTCCATTTCTTTCAGTATCAGCAATATGCTCTGTGGAGCCTGAAGGGATAATTCATGCAATAAAACATTCTTTTCCCCTTCCACTAGCTTTTTTTTTTCCTCGCTTTTTTTTCCCCACTTTTTTTTTAGGTTTTTTGTTTGTTTAGTATTTTTGTTTGGGTGGGTGGTTTGGTTTTTTTTCTTGCAGATGCAGAAACATTTGATCTACCTCTCTCTCTCTTCCTTTCATCAAATTATGTATTTCTTTCCTGTGTTGTTCTTAATCCCTCTCCTTTCCAGGCTTCCACATAGGTCAAGCTAGCTTTAAGTCTTTTTATATCTCAATTTTACTCTTGAATTTGCTTACACTTTCAGATACCAGTGTTGTCTTTAGCTGATTATATGTGATGTCTGGAAGTGCTGCCATTCTCCTGACTCTCTCTGTCCCAGTATACTATAGCTTAAATAACTTCTTGCCTGAAATTTAGAACTGATGTTTGCTTTTCTGTCCCCATAGATCCTTTGCATAATCACGATTCTTTGGCTTGCTTTCTCTGTTCTTCAAATTTTTTCTAAATTAATTCATACTTTTTCATGATCATCTTTGTTCAGTTGTGCAGGATTCCATCAGATCCTGCGTTCTTCTGCCTTTGTTCGTGGAGAACATCCACATTTAAACATACTCAGTATTCTGTTTCTCATTTTTCTCTTATCGGTGTCACAAGTGTCATGCATGCTCTCCCTAGCCACTTTCTTAATAATTGCTGTGATTGCTTGTTGATCGTAGGAGTCCTCTGCAGCTTAAACCTTTCTGATTCATCGCTATATGCAGGTGGTCCTAAATCTTGAAAATACTATGCAAAGCTCTCTGTATGGACAGGAAAGGCTAAATAATTTTCCAGCGCCTTTCCCCTCCCCCCTGCCATGCCCTCCAACTTTTTTTGGAAATGGTTCTTTTATCCTGATTATTTTGGCCCTCATCACTCTAACTTACTTTTGTCTCTTTTACTCCTGAACCCATGTCTATCACTTTCATTCACTTGCAGGGTATATGTCATCTTCAGTCCGTGATACCAGCTTGTCACCTATAGATTAACTTTTCAGATAGTCACATTTGTTTCTTGTCCTTTGCCACTTGCATCTGGAGGACTTGGCAAACTTTCTGTTAAAAATACCTTCTTAAAACTTGCCTCTGATCTGTATTAAAGCTGATAATGGTTAGACTGCTGTTGTCATGCTGATGTTACTATTCTTTACTGTTCCGTCTGTATCCTTGTACTGACTCTTTACATTTTTGTTTTGTTTCAGTGCGTGTGAGCAGTACAATAGGGCTGTAGTTTAGAGTGCTTTAATAAAAAATAATATTTCAAGAGACTATTCAGTTAAAATAATCTTTGAATAAAATGTTTTATGTCAGACTTTACCATCTGATTTGAGGTTGGTTCGGCTCCAAATGAACTCCCAAACTGAAGTTCTTAAACAGAAGCATGGCTTCTGCCTTTTGCAGGGTTAGAATTACAGGCTAGAGTAACATACTTTAATAGATACTCATTAGTTTACCTGTTTTTTGTTTTCTTTAACACCTGTAACATAATAAAAGAAGATTAAGATGAACATTTATGGGAATGAAGTAAAATTACTTTATGCTTTTTAATTAAATATGTAAAATACTTTAACTAGAAGAATGGGATGTAAAGCTTTTTTCATTATCACTCCTCTATGCCCAGCAATTAATGATAATCGTGGAGGTTAAATTGGGGAAGTACTGTGAATACTGAGTTAGTGGGATTTCATACTGTGGGGTAAAAGCATACTAAGCAGAACTTCCTTGATAGTTTAGCTTTCTGCATAAAGACCAAATTTAGATACCTTAAATGTCAGGCAAAAATTCATCATCCGCAAATTCCTTGTAATAATGGAAATGAAAGAATGAAGAGAAACAATACTATATCAAGTGAATCTTGAGCCATGTTCGCTGTTAGTTGCTGCTGCTTATTGTTAAACTAAACTGCATCAGTATTTCATGCTAATTTTTATTCAGTTGATACTTAGTATCAATGATTAAGTGTCATTGAATTGGAATGTATTCTCTGTTCTGTGGAAGAGACTTTCTTAAAATTTCATGTTCTAAAAATACTTCAGGCAAGTAAATGCTATCTTAAAAGCAATTTTATCACTTTTTAAGATGGTAAAGCTGATCTGCTGTATGAGAAACACAGTATAGCAGCCCTGACATTTCTGGACAAACTTCTTGGTTTTATTCTATATTTAACATAGTTATTTCACCCTTTCTTACAGGCAGTGGCTTCCCAAATCCAAAATGGTTCCCCTTGGGATAGATGAGACCATAGACAAGTTAAAAATGATGGAAGGACGTAACTCAAGCATACGAAAAGCAGTAAGAATTGCTTTTGATCGTGCTATGAATCACCTGAGTAGAGTCCATGGAGAACCAGTCAGTGACTTCAGTGATATTGACTAACAGAGATTCTACCAAGGCATGAAAAATACCCCACAGACTTGAACTCTACTAACGAACCTCTTTGTCTAAAAGAATGTATTGAAGATACAACCCCTTAATTGTTGATTCAGTGGCTGAGTTCTGCAAACTTGAAATAGTTGAGCAATTCTTCTAAATCACCATTGCCATATTGATTAATGATTTTATCGTGTTGTAGTTTGGAGGATTTTCCACTAAACCTGTTAAAATGTCTTGTTCATAGTGTTCATAATTGTACATAAATGTATATTCAACACTTAACTTATTCTGATTTTAGAAGTAGTTCTTTAATTCCTCTTATAATTTTGCTGGGGAGGGAGTTGGTTTTTGTTTCCATGCGTTTTTTTTTTTTTTTCTCTCCTTTCTTTCTGAGGTTAAGTTACCTAAGCACCATCTTCCAGCTTAAGGTGTTTAGTAGATATTAAAGCCTAATATCAAAATGGCATCAAATATATGTTTGCCTAAATCATATACAATATGGTGCTGCTTGTATCATTTTTTCCTTGGTCTGTAGCTTCTGAAAAAGACTTCTGAATGTTTGTGTAAATCATTGCTCTTTGCACAAAGTACCACATATTTAAGATTGATGTAAATTTACAATTACAAATATGTATTTTAAGAAAGGAAGTTGCATTATTTTGGAGGGTACTTTGTGGGAAAGACATCAAGAAAAAAAATTATACTATGTACATCACTTGCAAATCACCAAAAACACTCCATTGTTGCCCAAAATAGCTTACGATTGTTTTTGTTTTAAACAAACCTGGCTTAAAGCCTTGCAAGCACATTATTTCTTTCAAAACCATATCCCATTTATCTCCCATTGATTTAATTTTGTTGATATGTGTGCCTCCCTGTGTTTTATTTATTGTAGAAAATGTATTAATTTGCTTTATAATGAAAAATAAAATTGACAAATATATTGATATGCATTTTTATACAGGCACATGAGAAGACAACTTGCTTTGGGAGAAAAATGTATTGGAAATTGTATAAAATAACTTGATGGTTTGTGTGTAATTTGATTTTTTTGTAACTTGTAATCTTCTGTTTCCAATGAGGGGATTTATGTAACTTTTAATTTAGAACACTTTGGTAGCAATAGAAACTTTGGATACATTTTTGTATGGTACATGTGATGTATATAGAATTAGTACTTTATTTTTATTTTTAAGAAGTAAAGCATTATGTTTGGGCAGGGGGAAGAAGGAGGGTGGGTTTCCAGAACTGCATTTTTATATTAAAAAGAAAAAAAATAAAGTCAAGATATTGATTGTTGTAGCTACTTTATTCCTACCTTCACTGAGATACTGAATTTGTAACAATGAAAATGGCAAGGTATGTTTGCAATGTGATTTATAATGACTCCATTATTTATAAATGCACTGTGTTTGAACTCTTTTGCAGTGATATCTTAAATACTGTACCAAGTTATATAATATGAAACACCAAATAATGCATATGAATGCACGAAGTATTTATGCCCAGCTTTTTTATAAAGGATTAGCAAATACAGCAAAACCAATACTTTTTAAATCTTTTTTTAAAACTTCATTGAATAGCATACTTCATTGTTAAACCTGCTTGAATCTTTATTTTAAAGGGACAATTACTTTTTAAATAGTTTTTAATGTTTTTATTCTCTATTGTTTGTAATACCCCCTTAGAAGCTTGAAATAAAATTTCTTTCTCAACTGTTAATTTTGTCCTGAATTCAGCCCCTGAGATTTTGCTGTAGTGCCCATTTTCTTACTCCGTGACTGAGCTGTACAGAGGTGCTAGTTCAAGAAAGAACCTGACTCTTTTCTCGCTGTGGCATGCAGTGTCATCCTTACTGAGCCTTCTGCATGGTAGGTATTCTACTTAGGCTACACTAGCTGAGACCAGTCACCTATAGTTGACTCTAATAATTACAAAGATAATTTGATAAGTTTCACAAATGATCAAGTAAATAGTTTTCTCAGTCTTGACAGTAAGCGGAGCTTTAGGGGGAGTAGTGATGGCAGGTTATCCTGTAAGGGCTGTCATTGAGGTGCGCGGCTGTGGTAGAAACAACAGCCACATCAGGTAGGGAAAAAAAAAAAATGGGGGTTTTGCCTTAAATAGAACTTGTGTGTAATGACTTGAAGGATCTGCCACGTAACCATGCTCACCTTTGAAGGGAATGGAACTTAATTTGTGCAATATTGTGGCAGTAGAATCACTTGCAGTCTTAGGACTGCCTGTTAAGAGTCTTCAAAAAAAAGCAGCCTGCATCAGAGTGTGTTTCAGACTTGTTTCACTAAATATACTCAAATTTGGTGTGTGTGAAACTGGGTAATGATTCACAGCCTCATTCTGGCAAGCAGAGAAAATGCTTGGTGGTTTGGTTGGTTTTTTTTTAATGTCGGAGCTTGGAAAGCTGAAATTGCAGTTACAATAGGAATAGCAAGATGATAATTTGGTACTTGTAAGATAAGAATTTTGATACCTGTAAAATATGAAGTCCCAGTTGGAAAAAAAAAAAAAAAGATACAGTTGCAAAATGATTGATTAGAAGGCTTCCCAAGTTCTCGGCTGCTTCTGATGGTAGCAACATTGGAAGGGGAAAAAAGAGCTTTTTTTTTTTTTTTTTCCAAAACAAGCTGAGCATTAATTTAATTATTCTGTAACATTGTTTAATCACATCTTCAGTGAAAGCTTTAGTTTGAATTTTGCTCAGGCTTCCAAGTTTCATTGTCTGGTGTTTATCTGCAGAGACAGCTGCGTCAGTTCTTGGAGAAGGTCACTTTGCTGCATTGATCTTGCAGGTGTCTGCACTGAAGAGAAGTCTGAGCTGGAAAACTTTACAGATTAAAAGAGGCCCGTTAAGCATCCTGACGAACCACACTGTGTATTTTGATGAAACGAGCATGAGGTTTGCAGTGGTGGCCGCGGCTGTTACCGTGCTCTCTCACGCTGAAGTCAAGTATCGTCCAGTGGCTCTGCAGACTGGGTTAAAGTCTAAAATAATTCCTGTCTTCAGTGTGGCTTGTGTGTTTTTAAGGTATTTCATACCTATTTAGGAAAGGAAGTCCGGACTCCTAAACAGCTTTATTTCCAAATTCTAGGGCCTAACTGGGTACAGTAGTCAGATGAATACGTGCATATCAAAGTGTGCTTCACTACATTTTAGACCAAGTTCTATGACACATTAATAACTGTAACATTGTAATAGAGTGGAAATCAGTATTTTAGTGGAGGGGGGGACAAAAAGGGAACACCACATTGTATCTTACTGATTTCTTGGGGAGCGTGAAAGCAGTAAATACAGGGTGTAGATCTGCATATTCACCACTCCATTCTGGTAGGATCATTTCCTGCTAATAGTGTGAGAATCCTGGATCAGAAGCTGGAACTAAGTTAAAATTTATTTTCTCTTGTATTAAAATGTGAGAAATCATGTTACAAATATTTAGGGAAAAAATGTGAATAGAGAATGACCTTTTTTTAAAGAAAAAAGTTTGTTACTAAACGTGATTTTTTTTTTCTTTTAATGTTTGTTGATGGTGATTTTGTATTTTTTACACTAGAGGGAGCAATACACACAGACCATCATCATTCACAAAATTAATATTTTCAAAATGCTATTGAAACTTTTTACTGGTAAACAGTCTTTTCTGCTTCTAGTATTTGTAGTCCATCAAAACTAGTTTTCTCTGATGTTCTTCCTGCAAGTTGGCTGCTTTGGGAATGCTTATTTTTATCTGTAGAGCCAGCACATAAAACAACAACTCTGGATTTTCTGGTTCTCTTTGTGTCTAATTGCTAGTGACAGGCGAGTTACTTTTTACACTGTTTTATATAGTTGTTGGTTTTCTTTTCACAGGTGTACTGCTATGGGTGTGTTCTATAGCATTATAAACAGAAAATTACTCAGAGCTAGTAACACAGTGCAAGAAAAACACACACACAGCAACCCCCAACAAAAATATTCCAGTTTGGAGATGAGACAATTGGTCTGTCCTGCGGGCTGCTGAAGGAAGGTTGTTTTGGGGATGTTCACAGGGGAAAGAAAGAAACTTAGCTCTGAGGTGTGATTGTGTGGGTACAGGTGGTTATCTGCAGAAGAAAACCACTTTCTTTTTGCCCTGTAAGTCTGTAACACAAATAGAGCAGTGAAATGTAAATGGAGAAAGCATTCACTGCCTGCATTCTGCTTAGCACCTTTTGGTTTTCTTGTTTACATTTTTGTGTATCAACATTCAGTTATGCTGACTTACCTGGTTTATCGGTTCTTCCATGAGAGACTTATTTCCTCTTAATCTTCTCTTATATGGTAGAAAAAGAGTAAATTCAAGCTAATGCAAGTTTATAAAGTTGAAAATATTCTTTTGGAATAGCATGAAATTGGTAAGTATTGGTATTTGATGGGAGGGGGCTGTAAATTTATTTTTATCTGCCTACTTTATTCAGTAGTTTTCATCATGAACTCATGAAGGACTTTGGGGCTTCCTAAAGAACAGAAGTGCTGAAGGAGTGCCCTCATTTAAAAAGGGGGATTTGGAGCATTGTCCACCAGCGTTCCTGAAGATAAAGCCACTGCAAGGACATGGTGAGAGAAGCAATGGTGGCTGGGTTTTGGTGGAAAGGTAATAGCTGAGAGGTGGGTAGAGAGAGGGCAAAAGTACTTTCCTACTTAGATAGAAATTATGTGGATTTATAAGCAGTTAAAGGATATGGACAACATAAATATTTTTGAATTAACTAAAAATTATTGTGTAGGGTAGGATAACAGTCCTAATGGTGGGTAAAAGGAGAGGTAATAGTTGGAATTATGCTTGACCTCACCAATGCTTTTGATATTCTTAATCATATTTTCTTAGGGAAACAAGAAAAATATCACCTAGAACAAACGATTTTCAAAAACTGCCAACAGTTCACAAAGTAGTTGTCAATGGTTTGATGTGAAACTGGGGGAACACTTTCAACAGTCTGCCTTTTGGGTCTGCACATCTCTAGTGACCAGTATTGAATACTTTCATGCCAAATACCACTGCAAAACTCTGAAATACTTGTCTAGATTTTTTGTGTGTTTATCTACATCTATGTTTTGAATGAGCTTTTATTTTGCTTTAGTAGTTCTTTGGCTCATACTTCGCTTCCTACTTGGTGTGACTTTTCTATTTATGACATGTAAGTCCCAGAATTAGTTTCTTTACAGACTGACATGCAGACTTCACTGAACTAGCCATAAAATGTCATGCTTGAATGCCAGTAGGGGTTTTTTTTCCCCAGCACAGAGGGAACTTGGAATTCAAGAGATGTTATTTGTCAAAACAAGGACAAGATGATGCATTTGGGCAGCAGTTCCTTTAGAAAGTAAACACAAGACCTGTTGTGTTGTTGGTTTGGGTTTGGGTTTTTTGTTGGTTTTTTTCTTTTCAGTGGAAATTGCTGTCTGTGCACAAGGAAAATGGCTCTTACAAGATAAACAGAAAGCAAGCAAAACTACAGTCAGGTTGAACATGATCTTAACGGGCAATCTAAATTTTATGCCGTTTCTGTAACTGCCATATTTATGATGGTGAAACTGAGTAGTCCTTAATTCGTACATGTTAGAAGAAAAGTGAAATTGAAGTTACTCCTCCACACTTCTGCCAGATGATGATCATGGGGAGAATGTATACAAGATGCTGATAAGACACTGATGAACCATGAAGATCAATTTTTCAGATCAACTTCATCAAATAATTTGAACCAAGCTAATCCAATTTGCTGCATAATTGTCTGCTTCTTTCCACAGATGTTTATTTCTTCTGAAAATGTCTAATACAGTACTTGTCAGCAGGTGTTCCCAGCTGAGAAAAATATGGGTCTTGGTTGCCTTGTTGATTATATTAGAAAATAGCTTTTTTAATGAAAACGTTACTCTAAAAGGGGATTTCAGCAGTGTAGAAAAAAGGCTCTTTGTAGTGTCTGCATGAAAGAAGAAATGTACATATACATTTTGTGTTGTATTCTTGAAACTCACAAGTTGGTATATTTTTGTCCTGAGGGTCCATTTACTTCCTTTTCAATCAAAGATCATTAAACCAACTTACTTTATAAGATCTTTCAAAATTCCTGTATTTATCTTGAGTGTGATTTATTATTAGTTACTTGTTTTTAAATATTTCAACTGCCATAAAAGTGTTGAAGTGTGTGTAAATAAATTACAGTCTTAACTATAAGACGTTTACAGTCTTTGGTACTAAGTAGGATCAGGAGCCCAGTGCGTGGCTTCCTCTACACAATAGATTTCACCCAAATTCTTTGCTGGTTCTTTTGGGGAGAAGAGTAATACTTTCATCCAAGAGAACACATAAAGGCATCTCTTAAGTGAACCCATCCCAGACTTCTTCATTCTTCTTAAGCATTCTCAGATCTTCCTCAGCTGGCAAATTAATCTAGATGAGAATAGGCTCCTTCTCAAAATCTCCGAAGCCTAATGTTGTATTTCATAGCTCCAGTTTGTTGACAGGCAGCGCTGCTGAGCCTTTATCTCTTGTCACTTTGTATGCCACCATGCATATTCTTACTGTTACAAAGGCTTTCTTAAAATCTTCTGCTGACCATCAGATTTACAAATTGTGCCCATGATAATTGCTCTTCAATCCACTTTTCTGACTCTGGGAAGTGAGCAATGTAAAGTAAGGAAAGGTAAATTTGAGGCACCTGGTATAGACTAGATACACTGACAATGTTTCACTTTT